AAGTATTTTTAGAATTTCATTTATCCATTGCAGAAAAAAAGTTTAACAACAAGTTCAATTATTTGTGGAGAAGGAAAGCGCAATGAAATTATTGAGAAGTTATCTCCGAGATGAAGAGAAAAACAATCGTTTGTTCGTTCATCTTTGTGCACTTGTTGAAAAACATTTTCGACAAGTACTCAGACGATTGTTGTTTTTTGTAGGACAAGGCAGAGTTTTTGTTGTGTCTGTTAAATTGTTACAACTTAATTCGTGTATAAGGTAAATGAAAATCAATAGTAAGACTTCGAAAACTCTATCTCTGCATTGATGATTAAGAATGAGGTTGTGATAACCTCACGATCACTAATACTCATCAAATCATCAGGTCAACAATATTCACAAAACTTGAAAATACGCGAACTCATAGTATTCTTGCTTGCTATTATGATATAAGATTAAACTGTTCAGATTACTTTGCAAAAATTTCATTTCAATCACGTGAGTATTACCTCGCTATGTGCCTTTTGATGCCTCTTTATTCGAGCGAAAAACGAATGAAAAAAGTCGTTCGTGAGGAAATGAATCGTGTGATTACGTTATTTTTTATGGTATGTATATGTGAATGCTTCGAACGATCAACAAAACAGAAAATGTTTAACGAGAAAAGAGAAAAATGAGTAATGAGTAGTCGTCCACTCGATTGCAGTCAATTCCAACAAAAAAGTACAAGTCGTACTTATGTTTATCCATTTGCAAATGATGCAAAAATTATCATTCACACAAAAAATTTGAACTCGATTCGAAACCGCATCTTAAGTTATCAATCACCACTTATGTTGGTCAGAATTTGGGTGGTGTGCAGTGAAGTAAACATTGATAGAAAACGCGATATCGCACACAAGAATTGAGTGCCTGTTGGTCTGANAAAAAAAGACAGATACAAAGACGCTGTCAATAGCCGATTAGCTGACTGACACAACGAAATATAGTTGCCAGAGGCAGAAAAATTGTCTGCAAATATAACCACATCGAGAATGTTAAACAGTGAAAAGATCACGAATATGCGTTGAAATGCAAAAGTGTGCTGGATGATGAGCGAGTGAGTGCATTGTCAGTATATAAGATAGGCCGCTTTTTGCAGCCGATTGCCTCAAGTACTATATGACCAGCCAGAGCAAGTATTAGTTATCTGATATGTAGGAGCGTATGAATGGATGTAGTAGGGCTAGAGAGAGGGATAAATGAATGATTAAAAAGAGCGATGAAATGTTATAGCAGCTTGTGAGCAGTGGTGGACGCTCAGTGAGAAGAAGTAGACATCGGCGATATTCGATAGATAGATATCTCATTGCGAGGTGCAGTTTCTTCTCTGATATCACCTTGTGGCTGCTGCTGGTGCTGGTGCAGTTGTTGCAACCCGTTAATGCCTTCATCATCATTATTCGTAACCGTATCGCCATCAGTCGACAACGAATCGCCGTCATCTCTGAATAACTCGACGACAAATTCAAACGAGAACAACTACTCATCCGTACGAATCGCATTATTACTCATTACCACTTTTAAGAAATGCAACTGTGACTGGCAATGAATTAAACGGATTCATTCGTATTATTATCTGTCGTTTGCTTCACTAAACTTCTGTCGATCAAAACAACTTACTTCACTCATATCATTTTTATTGGTATTGAGAAGACCACCGACAATATTTGAGTGGTGATAACTTGCTTCATCTAGACTTATCTCAACGTTTATCTTATGATATCCACTGCCAATCATCATCCTCACAATGCTTCGTAACAATCGTCGCAGTTCGTTGGGTGGTTCATCGATGTCCATCGCATCGACTGCACGTAAGTCGTCGGTGAATGTGAAAGATATCGAGCGCATTCAAGCTGCTATTCAGGTGTGTAT